GCAGTCAAGGCGGCTTTAATATCATTGGACTTCGTTTTTTCGCTAGCATAAGGCTAGATAATAGTTTAAAAAGGATTATTTATGAAGATAACAACGATTAGTGTAACTGCACTCTTTCAAGTAAGTTTGGAAGTATCAGAATGGGCAATAAGCGTTCCAAATAAAATTATAGCTTGTCGTTTAAAAGGATAATACCTGGAGATAACAACAATCACCCCTTTCTCAGGTAACTTAGAGGGCATTAAAATGGTTAATAGATAAATTCGAGCAAAAAGTTTTGATAATTGTATCAACCCGTGCCCTCTCAACCAAACCTAACCTTTCTCAGATTCAATAAAACAACATAAGATGGTAAAAAACTTTATATTCTCTAAAATAGAATAAAAAATAAAAGTAATTACTTTTGAAAGTAAAACATTGCATAGAATACTTCGTTCTATGAAGTTAAATCACAATCTGTGCATCACTCATTATAATGATATAATGATAAAAAGCACTCGAATGTAGTTCGTTCGACACATTAATGTCATACAATACAATGGTAAATAGAATTTCTACTCTAAAAACTGTAAAGACTCTAAAAACTTTAAAAATGATCACATTTTAGAACTTTTATTCGAAAGGGCAATAATCTGGAACAGTCACTGAAGCAAATAAAGGATCAGGATTATCTCTTCAATAATAGATGAGGTTGATGAATCTTCCATCTTGAAATAGATTAATAAATTGAAGAAGCATTTGATGAAGTTTTCTACTTTAGGAGGGAAGTAAATTCTATTCTGAAATCCTTTCACATTCTTAAGTTATTGTTTGATTGAACCGCCTTAGAATTGTTATTAATCTACTAATAAATTCAAGTTCCTACCATCGGATAACTAACAACATTTTAAGTATATTGCTAACAATGTTAACTAATATTTTAACAGTTTAAATCATTTTCTAAATACTCTTACCTATAAATATATGTATGTATATATTCTCCTGCAATTTTTCGAAATATTATTAAATCGTTTTCATTCCGCTTATGAATTCTAAATGAGATATAAAATTTTAGCTCAATTACAGTCAAATTAAGCGCCAACGTACAGAACAAAAAGGCATAAAAGTTGGAGTGGCAGAAAAAAATCAGAAACAAAAAACAACAACAAATGCTATAAATAATGAGACTTAGCAACAAAAAAGCAGGCTGCATTTAATCATTAAAGCAAGCATCATAAATTCCCTACAACATCACAACGACAACAACAATTGCCATAGGAAAAACACATATGAGCTTTGAATTGAAATCAAAAACAAGGAATAAAAATGGCGGCTAAGATGCGGCATACGTGCAAGTGCCACTAAATCAAAAGAACAACAACAACCATAAAAACAACAACAACAAAATCGAGAATGCGAATGCAAATGAAATTGTACGACATTTTTAATTATTTAAATGTTAATTAAAACAACAACATATGCAGTAACAACAAATGCTAAAGCACTAACAATTACACAAAAAAAAAAAATATTGCATAGTTTACATCAAAGTGAGATGTTTTTATGAATTAATACATTAATTACAATACACAAAATCGAGTGCCCGTAATAGTCCCGCCGCCAATGCATGTGCAGGTTTATTTATTTTGGGTGGGAAATTTATGTGGCATTTTAGGATTTTTTTTTGTTTTCGGCTGTTTCGCTCGCTTTCAATTTTAATGCTGCCAAAAATGCATGGTAAGGCGTGTCTAAATTTGTCTATGGCTTATATTTGTTTTATTTATTTATTTATTAATATTATTGTCTTATTTTTGGTATTGTTGACAAAATTTTGATTAGTTACATGTCTCAGAGGCAAAATAAATGATACCGAAATGTCAAGTTGAATTCTTTAATTTAATTTTTTTTCTGATATTAATGTTGGCATAGAAAATTAGTTTGGTTTGAAGAGAGAAGAGTGTACATGCAGGGTGGTCCAAATGAATGAATCTATTTGAATGAGAAACTCACTGTCAAAGCTCACTATTTATTTAATTAATAACAATTTTGCATCAGCAATGACATCTACATTGAGGGTAATGTATGTAAATATGTATAAAAATTCCCATGGGTTTCGGTTCCTTTCACGGATTCGTATGGATTATCTCAATTTTCAAAGGAAAGTACAGCCATATATGGTGAGTCCACGCTTATTAATCATGAATCGTATGTATTATGTACTTTCAGATGTTACAATTGATATATAGTTATTCATCAGGGCACTGATACTTTAGGTCCAGTAATTGGACTAAATGGATGTCCTCCCGAAAGAAAAATAAACATATACATACTAAAATAAATGTATCGAATACCAGAAAACTACTTATAGTATCAGTTCCAAATATAACTGTAAGTAATAAATACACTTATAGTATCAGTTTCAAATTTATCTGTGAGTAATAAATATACGATCTTCAGTTATATAAAGAAGCATGATTTGATGGCACGATTTTAGTGTCTTCATGTCTCAATTTGATTTAATGAGTACATAATTTTTGTAAACACTGCCAACATAAAATTCTTATTCCAGAGAATATTAATATATTATCCAAAAAATGTTCAATTATCTTCAATTTGGATGTAAATTATATGTTTTTCCTAAATATATCATCCTATATAACTTCAAAGCTTCGTGTCATTTAAACGATTACTCATTTAGTTACAGTTTTTTTTGTGACGCCTCTTATTATATTTTCAGAACAATTGGCTTAAAGCAGTTTCGTGTCTTAATTTATCATTTCTTTTTAATGAGAAAAAATACCTTGACAGCAAAACCTTGGCTTGATAAGAACTACGCGGACTCTGTTTCTTTCAGACAAACAGAAGAAAAGTAGTTTGCTGACTTAAAATGCGACCCTACAAACACAGACGATGTCAGAAGCCGTTGAATACCATAGTCAAATTACAAAAATTGCACTTCGAATTGCTTCCGTAACCTTCCTATTCGCCAGATTTGGCTCCAAGCGATTACTACCTTTTCGCAGATCTCAAAAAAATGCTCCAGAGATGAAACACGGAAATGAAAAAAATTGAACTTCGCCAAAATGTTGTTGTTTTATTGGTTACCCTACAGACTAATCTGCAAATATGTTATGATTATGTTATAACTGTTGTATATACCGTATTTACTCAAAATGGATTGAAAACTTTAACAAGTTGATGATTCAGAGCATAATTCACAGTTATTTAAGTAAGATATCTTAAAACAATATATAACATAAATCTATCACTTCACTCCGGATCCAATTCCCATTACGAATAACAATCTTGAAAAATGTCTCAAATGAAATGTTCGTAAAAAAATAATTTTAAGAACTGATCAGTTGTTTAAATGTTATTAATTCCTTAGTAATATTTTATATTGAAAACAAAATTTTCAAACCTCTCTGGTGGTACTACTAGAACAAATACAGCAGATACAGCAGATAGAAATTTTATAACAAAAAAAAAAGTAACGTGTTATTTTATTAAAATACAATTTTTTATTGAATTTTATGTAAATCTTTACTTTCGATATTTTCATATAAACTTAAAAAATTAACAGACATTAAACAATTTACCATGAAATGTTTTGTATAAAATAATGAAAATTTATGAATTTACAATGCAAAAAAGCGGCGAAGATGAAGCTTGAAGTTAATGTTTTTTTAAAGAATAAAATTATTTTTTTTGTGAATAATTTTAATATTTTCAAATAATATTAATAATGCCTTAAATGTTTATAAGCAGTTTGCAAGCATTTTATATATGTATAGCTAAAATTAATTTGTAAATTTTTCACACATAATATATTATTTAACTAACTGAGAACATTCGTATTTCAACTTAAAACAAAATTTTAACTTAATTTATAAATAATTTTATATATAACAAATTTACAACAATAAAATAATTTACATACATTTTTGCTAAATTATAAATTATTTTATTTTAATATAAGGTAGCGTAGATATTGCATAGTATTTGCTTAACTCAGCTCTGTGGAGCTGCACAACTTTGACTAACAATTTTGTGCGAGTGTATGCAATTATATATCTTTAAAAATATTTTCTTAATTTTTGATTGGAAAACAATTAAAATAATTTACTTTTATAAATACAATAAAACACCAATTTTACATCAAATTTTTCTTTTTCTTTTTTTCTTAAATTTTGTTCAACATTTTTTTGTAGTGTATAAATTTTTTCTACATAAATATTTAATTACATTTCTTTGGCTTATCTTACATTCTTTAGATTATTTAAATAGAGTTTGTAAACTTAGTCTTAACAAATTTACAAGTATAACTTAATTTTTTGCAGTGTATTAAGTACAAGATTTGAATGTTTTTATATAAAATTAATGAGTTTATGAGATATTGTGATATTGTGATAATCGAAAATCAGTTATATCAGTTATATACTGTCAAATCGAAACTTAATGAGGATTTAATGAGGGAAGGAGAGTCCTCCATTATGAAATTGAATATATTATTTTTGGAAAAAATAAACTTTAAACATACAAACGATTCGGTAATGTTGAAATTCTACTTGAGTACAATTTATGTTTAGAAACAGAATTTTTTTTCTCAAATGAACATAATTAGAATTTTCGTTTAAAACAATTAAGTTAACCGCGGTAAAATATTTTTAAAAATTGGGTAAAAACAAAAACGTTATAACTTTTCTTTGTTTTCCTGGATGTCGATTAACAAAGTTCCCCATATTTTATCGTTGCAGAATATCGGTCAACTACTAGAAACTTCGTTAAGTTTCGTTTAACGACATAACGTGAGTCAGCCCTTGACGTTCGTTATGTGTACAAAACTCACTGCAATCAAGTTTGCTGGTTTACACATTATTTTTTACAGTGCATTTATCATTTGCATAATATATTTGAGGAGTTTAACTCCTCCCGTAAGGATTATTGAATTGATGAAATCAATGTTGTAATGATAAAAATATGAATATAGTACAAAAATTAAACTAATAAAATATACAGCTTACGTTCTACCCCCACAAAAATAATGTTAATAATATACATATATTAATCTTTGTGTTGTTTTTGGAAAATAAAATTCAGCTTAGCACACACAGTCAAACATACACGCTACAACAACAAGTCGACACGCACAACACAAGCAACATAGCATCACAACTGAACAGCCTCCGCCTCCTTATTCGTATTTCTTATTGGCCACCTACAGACCGTGATCACCTGTGTTGAGGAAGCTTCGACACACACGACTGACTTCGGGATTCGTATGATTCATCAGTTGCATGTAGATTTGCTTGTGTAATTGCAATTCGTTAGTCATCTCCTGCAATTGGCGCAGCAGTGCTTCCTTCTCCTTCAACAGCGACTTGACGCGTTCCTCCACCTCACGTGAACGGACCTTTGCTTTCTCGCGGGATTTGCGTACTGCTATGTTATTGCGTTCCCGACGTCTGCGATACTCTTCGGTGCCTTTATCCACATGCTTCAGTGAGGACTTTCGTTGATTCTGTAGCTGCTTGTTGTGGTGCTTGAGCAAGTGTGCACCCGCTGCGAGATGTGGCAGATTAACTGAGTGATGTGCGAGCACATTAGCCGATGTGAGTGTGGTAAAATTGTTGTTGTTATTGTTGTTGTTGTTGCCATTGCCTGTATTATTGCCATTGCCATTTGTTGACTGGTATGGATTGTATAGCCCGTTGCTACCACCGTTTGTGATAAAAGCTGCGGCTGCATTGTTCACATTGGCTTCTTGTAAATGACGTCGATAATCAGGATCAATGGGTTCTTCTTTGATTGTGGAGGAGTCTGAACCAATGGAGGAGTTTTCATCACTCGAATGGTTATTATAAGCGGCACCAGAGTGTACAGCCTGTGGCATGTAGGCCAAGGGACTACGACCGTAATTGTGTTGCTGTGTACGCAAAGATTGCTGTTGTAACTGATGATGTTGCAGCACTTTCGCTGCAGCACTGACCATGCCATTTGGAGGCAGTGTAGCGGTGAGACCGCCTGGACTGGCAACCATATCACTGAAAATACCTAATGCTTCCTGCTCACGGAATTGATCGTCGATAAGATGTTGCAGATCGAGTGTGATCTCCTGCGCCGTCAGCTCGTCGATGTCGGAGTGCGAGTACTGCTGCAGCATTTGCTTCTGCAGCAAATTGTTGACATTATTCATGTTTGCATTCAGCGTAGATGTGTTGTTGTTGTTGTTGAGTGCAGCTGCTGCGTGTTGCAACTGATGCACTGCGTGCTGTTTGACAACGAGACCAGAATTTTGTTGTTGTTGCTGACCAGTCACACCCGTGTTGTTGTTGTTCGCATCGGTATTGTTGTTTTGTGTACCATTCGCATTGTTGTTGTTATTTTGTGCACTTGACATGGCTGTCAAAGTGATTTGGCCTATGATGGCCTGTTGTGGCTGCTTTTTGAGGTCCAAATGTGATAGGGACTGGACCGTATCATACATTTGCGGTGACTCCATGTTCAACATTTTGAGTTTTTCAAATGAAGGCAAAATTTTGACGAATTTAAAATTTGATTAGTTTTGAAGTGTATGAAGTTGCGATGGGTTAAACCAATTTCAGGAAATTATAGCGTTTTAACCATTTTATACAGCTTTGAGCTGTGTCGAATGCGAAGAGATATTGCAAAAAAGTCTTAAATGATCACTTTAGAGAGTTTTTCAATTTTTTAAATTATTTGCAATGTAATTTGAATTGTAATTAAATTATATATTTATTTTTGAAACTTCAACAATTAAAAATCAAACTTATTTTTTTTTGTGTAAATATTGTTTATAAGTTGATTTTTCTTAAATCCATCTTATATAGTTTGAGGTAAGCTCTTTGGAAAATTTTCTAATTTCAACAATTTTTTTTTTATTGTTAATAAACACAATTTTTCACAGTGTACTTCAATATCACTTATCCTTGGTGCTTAATCCTTTTGCGTTCCAGAAATGTTTGCTTATTTACACTACAATTTTTAAATGTTTTTTAATTAAAATTAAAATCAAATATTTTGAAATCCTTTTGATAATTTAAAGTTTTATTTTGTTACACTTAGTTTTTAATTTTTATTTTAATTGTAATTTCCGTTTTGTACGTTAACGCTTTTCAGTTCATTTTGGCAACATTAAGAATCAATAATTTTACACTTGCAAAAAATTATGAAAACCGCATAAAATGTTTTTTGGGAACTTTATTTTTGGAAAAATTTATATTTTGTTTTTAGTTGGAATTTTTCTTAAGTCTTTTGTAACCGTTCTGCGCGCCGCGCTTTGCTCAACAACCTTCGTTCAACTGAAGTGTTTTACAAATGATGCAACAGATTTTATATTTTCCACTTACAAGACGTGCGCGTCGCATCCGCTCTTCGTTGTTTCCCCGCACATACAAACACACACGTATCAACCACATGTGCTTTAAGCTGCACGAAACAATTTCTTGCCGCTAACCGTTAGACGTCTGAACCCGATGACGTATCAGAAATGACGAACAAATGTCTGAATGACGAGCTGTGCAGCAACTCTCAACAAGTTGCGCGCCGCAGTAGCCGAGCTTTTTTCTTACGAACTCTGCCAGCGTCGCAAACAGCTGATTCAAGAATTTTCTTAATATTGTGCAGTGTTTTGCCCACTTCAATTATGCCGATAAGCTTTCAAGCGCGCCACACGTCCATACGCCACAATTGGTAAATTGTAACTGAAATGCGATTGCGTCTCTAGCTGACTGCTTGTAACATAAACACAAGAAACGACAATAACCAAAAAGAAAGACCAAAAGCACAACAATAATAAACTTAAGAAAATAGCAACAACAACATCAACGGTAACAAAAGTCTCATAATCGCTGCAATCAAAGCGGCGTCGTCGTCGTCGTCGTCGTCGCCATCGCCGTCGCCGTAGAAAATATTCAAAAAGTAAGTAAAGCACATAAAAAATTAAGCTTCCACGTAATTTTGTGTCCGTTGAGTGCTTGCACACTTTTTGCTCGCTTCGTTTCTTGTTTACAGTTGCACTCCCCACTTCACAACTACCTGTAGCATACAAAAGACATAGCAAAACAAAGAGTAAAGTTGTGTACGAAAGCTTGAAGAGCACAACCGGCGTACGAATACACATTCAACCAAGCAAAAGCCAAAAGTAAACAGTCACTGAAATGTGCATTTGTGCACAGTAAACGTAAATGGGACTAATGGAGTAGTTTGTTTATCTCTTTCTCTTGTTTCTCTTCTCTGTTCAAATATTACAATCGAAAGCAAAAGTTGTTCCGATCACTTTTACCCTCAGCTGGGGAATGTTTTTAAAAAGCATATAACGCTAGCAGACCCAGCGGGACTTTCAGCGCTGAGGGAATCGATTCCCTCAGCGCTGAATGGTAATGCCTAGCGCTGATTATTCAAATGAAATTCTAATTACTTTACACGTGCATTCATTGCGGGCAAGCGTGGAGAATCGTTCGATTCCTTTTTCAAAATTTGTAAATGCAAATTTCAGCGCTGAAAATTGCTCGCTTCCTTTTCGAATTTGTAATGCACATATCAGCGTGATGTTCGCTTACTTTTCGAATTTGCTTAATGCAACATATCAGCGCTGACATGTTAGCTTACCTTTTCGAATTTGTAATGCAACATATCAGCGCTGATATGTTCTCTTAAATTTTCAATTTTACCTATGCTATTGATTTTTAAATAAAATACTATAAATTTTTTTGAATAAATTATATTTTATATTTATGTTTTATACAATTAAAATATTAATATTAACATAAAAAAATATAACATACTTATATAGATGAATATTTTTCTGGAAATTGTTACTAACACCTTGAAGAGATTTCCAGACTCGACTCGATCACTTGTTCCGGCTTACAATCTGTACTTAAAGCATCTGTAAATACAAAAGTATGTTATTGTATACGCTAAAGTTAATTATGTACAATATACCATACCAAAAAGTGCTGCTGTCACATTCTCTAACGCTCTTAAGAACTTCTTGCCTTGGGTACCATTCTCCAAAATTCCAGGAAATTTTTCGCGTAATTGATTGTTTTTTAATAACGCGTCTCATTGATGCAGTCTATAAATAACGTAATAGATGAAAAGAAATGTATGAATTAGTAAAATTGTTACATGTGAATATATTAATAAGTTGAAATTGAAAGTAAGAAACATATATAATTTAACTTACAACTACTTCAACGGCAGTGATTTCTTCATTAAATTGAATTATCTCCTCCTCAGTTTGAATTGTAAAATTTTCCAATTGAAACAGCTGACTACCTTTTACCCCTTGCTTTACAATGACTGCATTCGCAGCACATTGGCCAATTAATCGTTCTTGACGCAGTAGCATCTACATAATACAAAACAAAAATTGCAATTATCATTTTAAATATATTTACTTAATTTTCCATATACTTACAGTGAGTTTATGTTAAATTATAAATTATATTTTATTTATATTTTGATTTTAAAAATTGTTCACTGCACGCACTTCACTAAAATCAAAAGCAGACTAAATGTATACAATGTAGGCAAAACAAGAAATTCTTAATACTCCTTTGCTTTTCTTCTTCATTCTTTTATAATTTCAACCCCGAAATTGCCTATGTCGAACACAAATGTCGAAAACAAAGAAAAATAAAAACGAAGAGCTATTACCTCCTCGCTTACTTTTTCAGCGCTGGCATAATGGTGCCGCTGGGGAGATAAACGAAAAGGCAAACTGACATGTCACAATTAAAGAACACAATTTGGTTTGTTTTGTGGTTGAAATAATAATAGTTTTATAATATTATTTTATTATTATAATTATAACAGTGCATGAAATAGAATAGTATTGAAATTTAGCAATTAAAAATAAAAAAAATATAATAATTAATTAATTAATTCAATTATTCTACAGCTGGTTTATGATTCAAAGCAACAAAACTCCAGAAAAATGTGCAAACATAAAAAAGTCAAGTACGGCTTTGGGTCAGTTGGCAAGACCCGAGTTTCAAATTTGGCAGGACCCGAGTTCGATTCCTGGTACTTACAGTCTCAAAAAATTATTTACGAAATTATCTTGAGAATCAAAACAAAAAAAATAGTTTTCACCTAACACAGAAATAGAAAATGATTATGAGGAACGTAATCACTTAGGCCGTGTGCGAGTTCGAGTAAATTAAGGTAAAGTAAATTGAATTT